GCACTGCATGTGCCCGCCACCCTCCAGAGGACAGTGTGATCCCTCAGGCTGAAAAGGATTCCCCACCTCTGCCTTAGGACAAACAGGTTGAAAGATTTTCATAAAATGAATTCGGATTCCTTAATCTTGGGATGCCGGTCACTGTCTTTTTCCAAAGCTTAGTCAATTTGTGGCCTTGTGGGTTTCATTTTCTCTCCTGCAGATCTTTTTCTTATATATACATTTTTTATTAAGCAATTTCAACATAATCAATTAACAATCATATTATTACAGACATTATTTCCCCCCTCCCTCCTCAACCCACCCTCCCCCCCAAAGACTTCCCTCAGCTCCTTTCTCTGATTTCTCAACACATGTTATTCTCTGCATATTATAAAATTGTACAGTGGTGCCTCGCAAGACGAAATTAATCCGTTCCGCGAGTCTCTTCGTCTAGCGGTTTTTTCGTCTTGTGAAGCAACCCTGTTAGCGGCTTAGCGGATTAGCGCTATTAGCGGTTTAGCGGCTATTAAAGGCTTAGCGGCTTAGCGGCTAAAAGGCTATTAGCGGCTTAGCGGCTTAGAAAAAGGGGGGGGAGCGAAAAAATCTCAAGACTCGCAAGACATTTTCGTCTTGCGAAGCAAGCCCATAGGGAAATTCGTCCTGCAAAGCGCATCGAAAAACGGAAAACCCTTTCGTCTAGCGGGTTTTTCGTCTTGCGAGGCATTCGTCTTGTGGGGCACCACTGTACATACGTATCTTTGTCTTATCTATCATATATTCAATTAATAAATTTGTGAATGTTTATTCAAAACAGATCTTAGCCATGTCAGATACAGCTAAGAAGGCGACAACAGAGGGGGAAATTGTAAACTTGGTTTCTGTTGACGTGCAGAAGCTAACAGATCTCATTACGTATTTTAATGGAACTTGGCTTGCCCCCATCCGGATTATCGTCTGCTTCGTCTTCCTTTGGCAGGTAAAAGATTCCCGCCTGCTTCTTATACGTTGAATAGGTATAAGCAGTGTTTCTTATACGTATTCTTGTGCCAGGATGCCGATACTGCTTTTTAAATTGTGTTTACCAAATGGACACTATTCACACAAGTCAATTTAATCAGTCATTTATGTCAAGACTAATCCACCCAGAATTGCAAAGGGGAGAGGAGCAGTGGTGCTTAGCCGAATTCATGCAAATTCAGCCCTGTTCAGCTGACCACTAGATGTCTCTGTTAATACATAAGAAGCAGCGCAAGGAGTTTTAACTAAACAATCAATTGCTAAGTGAAGGCCTTGGATAGGAAATATGTTCTTTGATTCTGCTTTAGTGCAGTCAGTCCAACACAATCCTTCAAAATGTATGGTTGAAAGGTCAGGTGGATTGAGTAATGTATATGTGACGGAGTTGTTGTTTTTTGGAGGGGAACAAGACTCTTAGTATTCATAATGGAGGCATTTGGTAGCATGCATGTGCAACCTGCAGCAAAACGTTGCAGTATGTCACCTCCTAGCAGAAATGCTTTTACAGTGGTACCTTGGGTTACATACACTTCAGGTTACAGACGCTTCAGGTTACAGACTCTGCTAACCCAGAAATAGTACCTCGGATTAAGAACTTTGCTTCAGGATGAGAACAGAAATTGTGCTCTGGCGGCGCGGTGGCAGCGGGAGGCCCCATTAGCTAAAGTGGTGCTTCAGGTTAAGAACAGTTTCAGGTTAAGAACGGACCTCCGGAACGAATTAAGTATTTAACCTGAGGTTCGAATCCCCGTAACGGGGTGAGCTCCCGTTGCTCGGTCCCAGCTCCTGCCAACCTAGCAGTTCGAAAGCATTCAAAGTGCAAGTAGATAAATAGGTACCGCTCCGGCGGGAAGGTAAACGGCGTTTCCGTGCGCTGCTCTGGTTCGCCAGAAGCGGCTTAGTCATGCTGGCCACATGACCCGGAAGCTGTACGCCGGCTCCCTCGGCCAATAAAGCGAGATGAGCGCCGCAACCCCAGAGTCGGCCACGACTGGACCTAATGGTCAGGGGTCCCTTTACCTTTACCTTATCACTGTATTCAGGTTTCTAGCCACCCGTACCTTCCCCCTCAACTCTGTAAGCTGTAAGGTAAGGATGGGGAACCTGCTGCCCTCCAGATATCCTTGGACTCCAACTGCCATCAGGCCCTGCTGTCATGGGCAATGGTAAGGGATGATGGGAGTTGGAGTCCTGCTACTTCTGGAGTCCCACAGGGGTGCTCACTCCTGCTGTAAAGGGCTGCAGCAGGACATTTCCTCACACCCTTCCTTTTCCAGTTGATGCTGAACATTCTGTGACAGGTAAGAATGCTTATTCCTCATTGGGCTGGGGTTGGGGTTTTTTGGAGGGGGATGTTTTTGCCCAGTTTAGGCTCCAGGTTTGCTGGTAGGGGGCGTCATTACTGTTTCTGCAGAAGGGTCTCAGTCTCCAGCATCCGAGAACCACCCAATTAGCATGAAAAAGGAGCTTTGCAGCCGCTGACTAGAATGAAAAGAAGTGAGTCAGTTGCTGAGGGTCAGCTCCTTGGGTCACCCTGGAGAAAGCAAGTGGAAAGAACACCAGGGAAATGTTGCCCTGCATGCTCCAAAGCACAGTATTTAGGAACACTGCTTGCCTGCAAATTCTGCTAACTTTGATCATGGTCTCTGAACGCAACTTAAGTCTCTGAATGGCTCACAAAGTCATTATAGTAATTTTCATTATTAATATACCCCAACTCTCATATCCTTTTCTGACAACTGAATAAATGTAAGGGTGACAGTGACAGAACATGTAAGGTGTGTGTGTGTGTGTGTGTGTGTGTGTGTGTGTGTGTGTGTGTAACTATTCCTCCACGTTCCTTTCACTTAATATAGCTTTTGATTTTTGCATCCTATTAGCTCCTCGGGCCATACGCTTTGACGGCTATTGCTGTGTTTTTATTCCTCTTGCCGCTGAACTTTGCAATCAGCAAGAAGAGAAGCCAGTTCCAGGTACGAGTCGCTGCTTGCAAATAATTAGCAAGTTTTCGGTTCCGCGCTTGAAACCAAATCGGGCTCTGTTACTGTTTTGTTTCTCAGGAGGCGCAGATGAAATATAAGGACAGCCATGCGAAGCTCACCAGCGCCATTCTCAGAGACATCAGGATCCTAAAACTGCATGGATGGGAAGATAACTTCATGGACAAGGCACTGGGTATCCGGACTCAAGAACTGCAAGCTCTTAAGGCATCACAGTTCCTCTTCTCTGTGTCTCTTGTTTCTTTCCACTCATCAACGTTCCTGGTGAGTGAGGTGGGGTTGGTGATTTTTAGACAGCTGGACAAACCGCTGTATCTTCTTCACCTGTCTCCCCCTTGTTCCTTCTCTGCAGATTGCATTCATCATGTTCGCAGTCTACACGCTGGCAGATGAGGGAAACATCCTGGATGTTCAGAAAGCCTTTGTGTCTCTGACCCTGATCAACATACTCAACAGGGCTCACTCTTTTCTCCCCTTCTCCATCAATGCTGTTGTACAGGTGAGTCCCAGAAGTCAACTTTCAGTTTGCATCAGTGTAACTAAGAGGTGCTGTCTCCCCTTCTTGGTGGCCCCCTTCTTGGACGCGGGTGGCGCTGTGGGTAAAACCTCAGCGCCTAGGACTTGCCGATCGTATGGTCGGCGGTTCGAATCCCTGCGGCGGGGTGAGCTCCCATCGTTCGGTCCCAGCTCCTGCCCACCTAGCAGTTCGAAAGCACACTTAAGTGCAAGTAGATAAATAGGTACCGCTGTATAGCAGGAAGGTAAACGGCGTTTCTGTGTGCTGCGCTGGTGCAGGCTTGCCAGAGCAACTTCGTCACGCTGGCCACGTGACCCGGAAGTGTCTCCGGACAGCGCTGGCCCCCGGCCTCTTAAGCGAGATGAGCGCACAACCCCAGAGTCGGACACGACTGGCCCGTACGGGCAGGTGTACCTTTACCTTTACCTTTTAACTAGGAGGTGCTGTAGCTCCCCTTCTTGGTGATCTGAGCTAACTTCTTAGAATATAAGAGGAGTCCTGCTGGATCAGGCCAGAGCCCATTTAGTCCAGTATCCTGTTCTCATAGTGGCCAACCAGATGCCTGTCATGGAATTCTACTTGGTATTGATCCAGAGTATATGCCAATGTATAGTTAGCAGAGTAAAAACTTAAACATGTTGCAGGATTCCCCAAAAATAGACCAGAGGCAATTATATTTCATCCAATTATATTTACTGCTACTGAAGGCAAATGAGCATAATGGTCACAAATCCAATACATTCAGGATTGGCACTGTCCATAAGAAATCCAGTTGCAGCAGACTTAACTTAAACTTATGGTAACTTATAATAAGCCTAAACCTTAACACTATAGCATACTATGTACAGAACACCAGACCAGAAGGAAAAGAGACAGAAAGAAAAAGAGAAATGCAGGCTCCATCTGGCCCTACTATCATAGTCAGAATGACCTTGACAGAAAGAGATAAAAGTTTGAGCCAGCTGTACTCAGCTTCTCTGAAGGAATAACCCAAACACCAGGAACCTTCTGCTTGCTTCTTTCACACAGAGGAGCTTCCAGAACCCTCTTGAATTAATTAGAATAGGAAAGATATCTACACACCAGATGAATACTTTCTGCACTCAGAAATGCAAACTGGCAATGCCCAGCATGATGTGTGGACAGTAGCACTTTCCCCAACTTGTGATTCCCAGAATCTGATATTCAGAGCAGTTCTACACAGTGGAGGTGGAACAGAGCCACCAAGGTTCAGCTGTGTGTGTCCTTTGTTCCAGGCAAAAGTTTCCCTGAACCGTTTAGCTTCCTTTCTTTGCCTTGAGGAGTTGGATCAAACGGAAATGGGCTCTGGTTCTTTGGACTGCAGTAAGTATCAGCTTATGGGTGGTTTCCTTTTGAGCATAGGAAGCTGCCCTATAGTGAGTCAGGTCATTGGACCATCTAGCTCAGCATTCTTGGCACTGGCTGGCAGCAGCTCTCCAGGACTTCAGGCAGGGAGCTTCTCCTAGCCCTACCTGGGGATGCCAAGGGTTGAACCCAGGCAGCACCTTCTGCATGCAAAGCAGATGCTCTGCCACTGAGGTCCTATGCTCTGATTGCCGAACCCGTTGGTGTTTTGCAACTTTGACCTGTTGCGGGACCTTAGCCAGACCTTAGCAGAGCATACACAGAGTTTCAGAAAGCAGTCAGTTGCAGGCAGGATGGACGAAGCAGGAACAAAGACTGCTACTAGTAACTTGATTACTTATAAGGTGTTTATTATGTACAGCAGACTCTACAAGTTACTATATACAGGAATAGATACATGGATCTTAACTAGCTCTCTCTGAACAAAACCAAACGACTCTCAGAACACCACACTGACCAACAAACACATTCCAGCCAGTAGGTCATAAATCATTATGCCTGTGTGAGACTTTAACCAATGGTAACCAAGGGATGTGGGTGGCGCTGTGGGTAAAACCTCAGTGCCTAGGACTTGCCGATCGTATGGTCGGCAGTTCGAATCCCCGCGGCGGGGTGAGCTCCCATCTTTCGGTCCCAGCTCCTGCCCACCTAGCAGTTCGAAAGCACCCCTAAGTGCAAGTAGATAAATAGGTACCGCTTTATAGCGGGAAGGTAAACGGCGTTCCGTGTGCTGCGCTGGTGCTGGCTCGCCAGAGCAGCTTCGTCACGCTGGCCACGTGACCCGGAAGTGTCTCCGGACAGCGCTGGCCCCCGGCCTCTTAAGTGAGATGGGCGCACAACCTAGAGTAGGACACGACTGGCCCATACGGGCAGGGGTACCTTTACCTTTACCTTTAAAGCTGTTTCCAGGTTTCCATATCTCCAGGCAGATAACTCCTCTCTACTCTGTCATGCTTGGCTGTCGGCCAACTCTTAATTGACTCTGTGTGAAGCTGCACAGAATTGCACGTAGTCATAAAACCCAATAGAACCCTCCCATTTTTATCCCCACAACAGTGGCATGCTGTTATGCAGCAGGATAGGGTGAGCCATCTCTGCTGGCTAGAGATCTGAGGGAGCAATGCAATTCAGTTCACATCTGAAAGCAAATCTACCTAATTCACAGTTTCTGAAGCAATACATGAATGAAAATACAGCCAGCTTTCAAAAATCAGATTTCTCCAAAGTTCACAATGCAGTTCTCCAGCTAAACATGGCATAGAAAAATGTATGTGCTGTGGTAAAGTATACATAAAAATGCATATGTTGGTGGAAATAATGTACAAAATGCAAAATATTGGGGGAAATGGAAATATTACTATTATAACATTTATATTTATTTACATCCCGCCTTTCTTCCAGGAGCTGAGCTCATATGGGGGAAATGTGCTTTGCAACAAAAATGTTAGGCAAAATTGTATATAAAATGTGTATATTAGGAGAAATTCACTGTAAAATTCTGAGGAATTTCCATGAGGACTTTAGTTTAAAAATTACACGTTGATGTGGAAATGTGGAGAAGTGAAATTAAGATTGGAAAAATGAGAAACTAAGAGAAATTGACGTATTTTTCCATCGCTAGCCAGACCTGAGCTGGAATGTTTAAGAAGGCATTTATCTGAGAAAATGTGTAGTGAGTAAATAAGGTAGTGTAGGGAACCATACTCAGTCCTAGGGCCACATTCCCTCCTGGGCGACCTTTTGAGGGCCACATGCCAGGGGTGAGCAGGGCCAGGAGGGAAAGTGGGCAGAGCAACGGAAGTAAATTTTACCTTCTGTACATAAAAAGAGCCTGCCGGATCAGCCAAGGGCCTGTCTAGTCCAGCATCCTGTTCTCACAGGTGCCCACGGGAAGCCCACAAGCAGGACTCCTGCAACTGGCATTCAGAAGCATTGCTGCCTCCCAACTGCGAAGGCAGAGCTACAGGAGGCAAAAGCCCTTACCAGACTTCTATACACCTTCCAGACAGGGAGGAACATTCAGACAGGGTGTGAAACAGGGCCAGCTGAGGGGTGTGACCTATAGAGAGAGGGTGTGGCCTATAGAGTGTGCCATGGGCCAGATGGAGAGGCATAAAGGGTGCCACATTTGAGGCTCCCTGAAGTTCCCCATCTGTAAAATAAGGGGGAAATCAGATGTGTTTTGTTTATGATCTGGAAAGGCAAAATTCTTTTCCCTTTAATGCTCTCGACTTTCTATATTGTATCTAAGGTTAGCATATGTTCCCATTATAACAACCTCGCTTGTATAGCAAGTGATATAGAAAGCCACCAGTTGTGCCAAGACACTTATAATAAGTGCTCCTCTGCCTTTCTTCCTCAGTGCAGGATTGTGTTATGGTAAGGGAAGGGACCTTCAGCTGGTGCAGAGAGAGCCCTCCCTGCCTTAAAAGGTAAATGGCCACGAGCAAATTGGGTCTTTTCTTCTAAAGATGAGCTCTTTTCCTGATTTTTATCTTGATTATGGATTGGGTTGGTGGACGGTCCACAAAAGCAAATGAACTGAGCTGTTGGGGTTTCTTAATCCTTCCAATAAACTGGTTGTGATTGTGATCCGCCGCGATTCCTGCATTGCAAGGGGTTGGTCCAGATGACCATTGGGAGGTCTCTTCCAACTCTGCAGTTCTTTAATTCTGTACAACAGCACGCATCACCTCTGCCACCACCCCTCTCGGTTAGCTGACTTCCTAACAACAGAATTAACTCTTAAGTTGCACCCCGGATTATCTCTGCTGTTGCACTTCCAACAGCGTGTGCCAGATGCTCATGGGAGTATATGTTACCATCCATGCAGGATTAATCTAGCGATACCTCGGGGCAGTCTGTGCGCTGTGGTTGGCCAGGTCGGAGCGGGAAAATCCTCACTACTCTCAGCATTGCTTGGAGAGCTACACAAAAGAGAAGGCACTCTGGCTACGAAGGTAAAAGCTTCTTTTCCTCCCCTATCCTAAGCAAGCTGTTTGTTTTAGGTCACATTCGCACTGTGCATTTAAAACACCTGGCTTTCCCCAAATAATATTGGGAACCAGAGGCAGAGCTAGCTGCTCTGGCACCCGGACGGGGTGATCTGCCCATGGTAGCAGGGTGGCGAGCATGGGGGTAGTACCGCCCACAGCGAGCGTCCCAGGGGGGTGACACAGCGATGTCACCCCCCCCAGGGATGACACCCGGCGCGGACCGCACCCCCCTCACCCCCCTTCCTCCACTATAGTTGACCCCTTTCAGAGCTACAGTTCCCAGAACCTTTAGATTACAGTTCCTGAGATTCTTTGGGGAAAGCCATATGCTTTAAATGTGTGTTCAACCTGCTTTAAATGTATTGTGTGTACGAGACCAGAGTCTAATGTATATATAGTTAACGGTAGCTGCTTTCTCAGCTACATCCTTTCTTACCCTCATTTTTTGAAAGCTGACGGCTCCAAGTACATGTTCCTCAATCTTTTAGATTGCCAGCCTAGAAATCTCTCTCCCTGACCGTTTACATGCCGTCTTTTCCATCATCAACAAAGATGTTATGCTGATTTTTTAAAAAATGCATCCAAAGGGAATAAAAAGTGTTACCGTTTTTTTGTTTGTTTGTTTATTTAATGGGGGGGGATTAAACTAGCATCCTACTGTAATTGGTTCTTAGATAGTGTGTGTTTGTCACCCATGCTGCATCTGGTGATCATCTCTTAATTTAATTTCACAGGGCACAGTAGCGTTTGTTCCCCAGAAACCCTGGATACAAAACATGTCAGTGGAAGACAATATCACATTTGGGCAGAAGATGGATAGGAGGTGGTACAACAGAGTGGTCGAAGCCTGTGCGCTGGAGCCGGACCTGGAGAGCTTCCCTGCTGGAAGTCAGACAGAAATCGGAGAGAAGGTTCTTGGTTCATTATTTGTCTGACCAAGAGTTAATTTTGAAAAATGATGATAATACCTGATTGTTTGGGATGTTCTACAGGTGTTTTAGTGCCCACCTTGAAATGAGACTCATTTTTTGTATTTTATAGTCCTATTGCGGTATGTGTTGCATGGTGTTCCATTTTGATTTTTATTATGTGCGATGTTGTTGTCAGGATGCTGCCAGCAGCTCCCGGCTAGTTGCCCAGGAAAATATATAAAGACAAGGAAAAGTTTTTTACAGTCCTTTTTTATTTCAGTCTTTACAGAGAGAGGCTATAAAACCCAGCCTCTTGGATAATGGTGTTGTCCCGAGTGAATCTCCACCCCACTCCCCATCTCCCACTCATTCGTCATTCTCATCATCTCTATGGGTGCTGCTACCTGCCCTCTGTCTTTGAGCTCTTTGCTCTCCTACTTTTAAGGCTCACCGGGTTCTGGGAGATGGAGAGTCTGGAATGCTTTCTAATGACAACGTGTCAGCCAGCTGTTGCTCTGGCTTCCCAACTTCCCCCTCATCTGCCTCTGAGCTGCAACCTCTCTCAAACCCTTGCTGTAAATCTATACTGTCTTCCTCGTCCTCCTCCCTGGAAGGGTCCCTGACAGCTGTGGGTTTATCTTTGACAAAGTGAAAGTGGGGTGCAGGTTGTGACAGTATTTGCAGGAGCATAGAAGTGTATCCAGCTAAGCTCTACTTGGACCCATTGAAATGAAAGAACCTGAGTTAGGCATGCCTGCTAACTTCAGTGGGTCTACTCTGGGTCGGACTAGCAATGGATATAACCCATAGGAAGTTGCATTATATCGAGTCAGGTTTGTCTTGCTCAGTATTGTTTACACCAGGGGTAAACAAAAGATGTATTGGGATTTACTGTATTTTTCCGTGTATAAGACTAGGGTTTTTTTTTACCAAATATTAGATTTAAAATTGGGGCTCGTCTTATACACAGGTAGTGCTGGGGGGTGTTTTCTTAATTTGGAGTCCCCCAAAATAGGGGGCATCTTGTACATGGGGGCGTCTTATACACGGAAAAATACAGCAATTTAAGGTAGATGCTGCAAGTAGTTGTGGGGGAAGAATTTGGGCTTGGCTCGCATTTCACTGCAAACTTATTTGTTTTGCACTTACCAAAACATTATGTGAGCCAAAAATGCAGCTTTTCTTCAAAAGCCTCACTTCTCCAAATTCTTGGATGCAGTTCTCCAGCCAAAGCACATATTGATGGAGATGCTTGGGATTTGTCTGCCTCTAAGTAG